GAGAATGTCTCCACAGTTTTTCTAAAAAAAGGAAAAAAAAAAAAAAAGATGTTTTCTTGCTTTTCTTATTATTCTTTCCAACTGGGGTGGTGGAGAAGAGCGCGGCGCGTGCGGCGGCGGCGGGGAGTGCACGGAGGGGAGGGGGGGGAAAGATTCTCTGCTTCATGCATCACTTCAAAATTGCATCAAGAGGAGCCCCCAGCTCCCCAGTGCCCCACTCAGGGATGGCTGCCTGGCTGCCTCCACCCGTGGGCATCCCAGGGCTGGATGGAGTCCCAGGGATGTTGATTTCTCCACCCAGCAATGAAAAGCTCAAAAACTCCATTCCCAGGGGATTGTTGAGAGGGTTTGACACCTTCCCACCCCCCCAGAGCCCCCCCTGAGCAGGCTGTGCTTTGTTTCTCTGCAGGTGGATCCGAGGGGAACACTTCAAGTACAAGTTCAGCCAACCTGGAGGCAAGCACGCCGGCGAGGGGAGGTGGTGGGTCCGGAAAAGGCTCGGCCCTTACTTCCCCCCCATCAACCTCCAGGGCCTGAGGAGGTTCTATGAAGACAGGGACTGGCCTTACCCCGTGCAGAACTGAGGGAGGAGGATGAGGAAGGTCAAGAAGGACCAGCTGGGGAAGAGGGGGAGCAGTCAGCTCCCTTACAGACCACACCTCTTGCCTCTCTCTGTGTTTTTTACCCATATCCTCGTTTTCACTTGCTCTACAGAAGGTTCCCACCTGCTGTTGGGCTCTGGTTTTTCTCATCATTCTCTTTGTCCCTCTCACCAGGGCCCTGCCTGGTGATTGATTTCTTTTGCCAAGCTGCTCTGTTTAGAATTGGGGGGGAAAAGGTGCTAAAAATACCTGTCAGTTTTGGGTAGGTGTTGGGGTGTTGCTTTCCCCAACCTGTTGCTTTGTGAGATGGCTGCAGAGATGCGAGGGGAGATTTTGGGGCAGTCAAAGGCAGGGAGTCACAGACTCCCTGGGGTCCAGCATGAGGCAGAGCAGCCAGGTCCTGCTGGATGGGAGGCTGGACTGGCATGGGGCACCACTCCCCAATCCCATCCCATCCCATCCCCATGTGTGCCACCAGCACTGTGCCCTCAAAGCTGCTTTATTCCCAGCATCACTGTCCCCATGCTGCCCTCTCTGTCACCTGGTCACCTTCTTGTCCAGGTGACCCCATCCCCTCCCACGTGACGTGCACCAAAAGTGTCCCAGTGTGGGTTTGAGAGCCAAGCTGGGTGTAAAGAGGGGAAGGAAAACAGCAGGTAAAGCTGGCAGTGGGACTGGCACGGGGCAGTGGGTGGGGGCACAGAACTGCCATGGCCAAGCCCTGTGGGACCACATGTGCCAGATGGGCACCACAGAGAGCCTGTTTCTGGACAAGGATTAAAGCAAACAGCTCTGGAGTCACCAGTGGGAGCTTCACTCATTATTTATTGTTTTCTAGAAGTGTTACAGAGGGCAAACAGGCACAGCCCTGGGAGGACCCCCTGGGTGACCAGCAACACCCTGACTCCCAGGGGGCCGAGGTGATGGGTGATAAATAGGGTGAAGTCTGGGTCTCACGGCCCTGAGTGGGATTTGAGGGTGTGCCTGGTGCCCTGAGTGAGCTCCTGACCACAGCCTGGCAGCCAGGGCAGCTCGGAGCCCCTCGGAGCCGCCGTGCTGCTGCGAGGTGTTAACTGCTGGCCGGGCACTGGGGAGGTGCCACACGTCACCCACCTCACTCCAACCCAGACAGATGGTTCATTGCAAGGCTCGGAGCAACAGGGAGCACTCCACATTGTAAATAACATTTATGGCTGCATTGTGTTGGCCTAAACCTTGGCCATCCCTGGAGATTGGCCATCCCTGGAGATTGGCCATCACTGGAGATTGGCCATCCCTGGAGATTGGCCATCACTGGAGGTCGCCGCTCTCGGCGCACACCGGTGGTGCCACCTCTCACTCCCCTTATCATCCTTCCTGGCCTGGCTGACCCACCAGGGGGCTGGGGGGCATGGAGCCCGGGTTGGGGGGCATGGAGCCCAGGCTGTGTCCCTCGGGGGGGTTGTGCCTCCCTGCAGGTGTAGAAGAGCAGCACGGCTTCTCCGAGCGCCTCCTGCCCAGGACAGGCTTCATCTGAAGCACTTTCTGGAGGTTTTTATTCTCCTCTCCCATGGCTGAAGTCAAGCCCTGGGGTTGGATGCACAGAGCAAGGCTGGACCCTATCCTGTGGCTCCTTCTCACCTCTCACAGGACCCTGGGCAGGATTTTTGGGGCAGGTGAGTTGGCCAAGAGCCCCGCACGCCACCCGTGTGCCCTCTGGCTTGTGGGATTTCAGAGCCTCCCACAAAAATCCAGCTGTCACCTTCCCAGCCACTGTCACACTGCAGAGCCCCTGCCTGGCTGTCCCCTCTGCCAGCTCTGTCCTCAGACCCACCCCCAGGCAGGGGTTCACTGCAGCAAACAGGATCCCCCCTCGGTGGCTGTGCCCGTCCCCGTGCCATGGGGGTCCCCTCCTCAGGATCCTCCACCCAGAGCTGGGGGTTAATTCACTCTAGAAGCATCTCTGCTCCCCAGCCCCATCCATCCTTCAGCTCTAGTGGGGCCAAGCTGGCATTGGGTGGGCAACCCCCACCCATGGGTGCCAGGGAGCCCCCAGCTTCAGTACCAGCATGGGGGGGAAGGTCCCCCCTGCTGGGGTGATGGGTGACGGGCATCCCTCGTGGGCTGGCCTCCCCCCTGCCCAATTTAATTCATCTCTTTTGGTTCCCAACCTCTGGGTCAGGTCTAATGGAACCCAGACGGGCGTTTGGTTCCCGTTTGCTGCACGTTGGGCCTGTTGAACTTTCTTTTTCTTTTCCCTTCTGTTTTTTTCCCTTGTCTTTTATCAGCCAAAACTCCTCGCTCTGCTCCAGAGCCCTGCCTGCAAGATAATCCACATTCAAAGGAAGGTGCATGCAGGGCATTAAATTAGAAACGTTTCCCTGGGACAACATTTTTAAGAAGAAAAAGAAACAATTATTTAGAGGGGGTGAGGAAATCGGAACCACATTGTGTTATCTGTTGACTGGGAGTTTGCTTGGAGAGGGTTTTTTTTGCTTCCCCTGAGCTGTGCACTGGAAGGAAAACTCTGTGGAGTCCCCAAGTTGGCTTGCCATAAATCCATGTGAAGGATAACTCTGTCTGAGGTCTGCTCCTGCCAAGCTCCTCTTCCTCAAGTGCCTTTGAAGAGGGGATGGGGACACCCACCAAGCACCCAGTAGAGAGGATTGGGGTCCCACCATAAACTCCTCCAGCTCCCAGACGTGGGGTTGGGGTCTGTCAGTCAAAGTGTCAGTCAGCTGAACCCCTCCTGGCACCACTCTATAACCTGGGCTGTGTTTTCCCAGCTCAGCCCATGATCTGGAGCCTGATCTCATCCCACTCCCTCCTGCACCTTCTCCTGGAGGTCCAACGAGGTCCCAGAGCCACTGGTGGTGGAAAGGGGGGGACGTGGACAGGCTGCTCACCCCACATCAGCCCTGGGCAGCTCAGGCTCCCACTGCCACCAGGAGCATCTCAGGGGACGTTGTCAGATCAAAACTAAGCAGCTTTATTTTGTATTTTCTTTTCCTAGATGAGGTTGGACATTAGGAAAAAACATCTTCCCCAAAAGAGCTGTCCTGGCCTGTCCCAGGCTGCCCAGGGCAGGTTGTTCCTTCAGCTTTGTTTTGGATCCCTGTAGAACTTTCCTGGCTTAGATTTTATTTTTTTTTCCTGATGTCATTGCAGGTTTTTTTTTACCTCTTCAACCTTCCAAACCTGCTGCTGGGTCCCACACACCCAAAGCTGGGGCTCCCCAAGGTGAGTCCTGGGGGTGACCACCACCATGGCAGGGACCAGCTCAGCTGGGCTGCTCTTCCCCCCCAAAAAATTCATCTAAAAGTCTACTGCTGATCCAGGCAGATGGGTTTGAGCTCATCTCATCCACAGGGAATGGCTGAATTGATCCCTGCTCGTGTGATTTGGGGAGACCCAGCAGAGTGGCTTTTGGAGTGAGCTGGAAGGGATGATGCCCGTGTCAAGTGGGAGGTGGGTGGGTGGTTCAGACCATCCAGGGGTCCCCAGCAGAGCTGGGTTCTTAGGTTGCTTTATTACCTTGCCCACCACGTCAGGCTTTGGCTCAAACTTCATGGAATATGAAGTTGTAAGAACTTTTGAGGTTCTGTAGATCATCTCCCTGTCTCCAAGCCCTCCAGGAGAGGGGTCTGCTGGTGGTGAGATGGAAACCTGGGCTGGCTGTTAATTCTCCCATGGGAATTTCAGATTCAGCTGGAAGATCTTTCATGATGCATTTATATTTGGAAGTTCTGGGTTTATTTCTGCTGCAGGAGCCCAGGGAGGTCCCCAGCTCCACCAAGGCCCTGGGAGAACATCTGCCCCTCACCAAACCCCTCAAACCAACAGCCTTCCTTAAAAAAACCTTCTAGGGTTGGCGTAAAAACCCTGAGATTTGGAGGAAAAGTCACTCCTTCCATTAGATTTTTTGGAAACCCACCCAGGCTGCATTTTCAAACCTTTCTGGGGCTAAAAGTGTGGGTTTGATTCGTGTCTGGGGGACCAGGTCCTCATGCAGGGCTCAGGAGCCAGTCCTGGTGTTCTCCATACCAGCAGCTCCAAGGCACCAACTCAGAGATTTCCATATTCCTGGATCATTTCTAGATGGGAATTATTTGATCTAAAGTAGCCAACCTTCAGTCTAGGAGTTCCCCTGGAAACTACATGTGTCCAAACACCTTCCCTGCTCCCAGCTGCTTTTAGAAGCTGGCTTTACTTTAACACATATTAAAGAAAGGAGCTTTTTTTTTCTTCCTTCTCACTAGATTAAGTCTGGCTAAACAATTCAGTGTGAACTGCTGGGCATGAGGCAGAAAACCTGTAGGCTAAATTACCCAGCTGCTACAAGTTTAGACCAGCATGGGATGAATTTCAAGATCGTATATTAGTTTTCATTTAATCTGATTATTCTAGGCTGGAGTTCCTGGAGGGTCTTCAGGTTATTGTCAGTCAAAAGAATCTTTAAAAGCTTCCATTTGCACTAAACTTTTCCCATTAGAAGTCTATTTTCATTATGGATCCATTTTTATTTTAATGAAAAGAGGATTCTCCCAACCCTTTGCTTCTTTTTTTTTCCCCTCTCCCAGCTGGGGTTAAAACTGAAGCTGGAGCAGGGTCTTGCCACTCAAAATACCACGGTCCTCTTTTGCTGGGGCCCTTGGCTTGCTTGAAGGAGCTTGGGCAGACAACAGGGGGGCAGATAATGTGTAAAGGCTCCTCTGCAGCTCCCAGTGATGCTTCTTGGGACCCACGTCCTCACCCTCAAACCCTTCCCTCCTTGGAAAGACTCTTTAAGTGGCTTGAATCCTGGGGGGATTTCTAGCTCCAAAATCTCAGAGATTAATGCAGGTCTAATTGAGCTTAAAAGCCTCTCGTTGGCTGGCTCAGAGTTGTGCTGTCAATTCAGGGGCTGGTTTGGGCTTTCCAGTTTGGGGAGCTGGGGCTGGGAAGGGATCAAACCCCACGTTCAGTGCTGGTGGGGACTTGTCCTTGCCAGGTCAGGCTTTGGG